TTTCGTCGTGCGTTTTATCTTCCTTACATTTGTGCAAGTTTTGTTTTCTTTTGTTTTGTTGTTTATCTTCTCATAAGTTTTTTTTGGTCGATGAGCAGATGATGCGCTCATCTGTTGTAGGGAAGGAGGTGTTAGGATATATGGATGACTTTATATTTCTTTTTCTTTTGTTACTATATGTTCTTACCCGTCTGACCTATTCTTCTTCACTGACGTCTTTTGTTGTAACTCTACTTGTTGTTCATTTTCAATCAGACGAAGAAACTCTCAACTTCTTCCCTGACTAGTCCAATCTTCTCTTCCTATATATACTTCGTGTTTTTTCAATAAAGGGGGATATTATTCACTCATCCAAAGCGTCATATACTTAACTATATACACTCTTCTCACGAGAGGGGGGGGGAGAGAGGCAAGCGGACATTCTAACTATGGTATAGAATGCAATTTGGTTTCAAAAACTTTTAATCTTATTCTCTGCATTATATCAGACCATTGTCTATTTCACAAAAAAATGACCATGGGCATTTTTTGAATAACTTTAAAACAATAAGAGAGAAAAATAACTCGGGTTTTTAACACTACCTAGAGTCGATATTGCTGTCTTTTTACAATGTCAATGAAAAATTCGGATCACTTTTTCTTCTCGGATACACCATGAGCTTCAAAATTGAGCTTTATCTGTCATAAAAACAATATGCTTTGCCACCTATAATATAATGGAAAGATAGCTCAGTTTCTCCTCTATCGATTCAAGAAAGCCCAGATCGATAACCGTTTGTCTTCAAAAAATACAAATATTTTACTGAACAAAACACACCAATTTTTTTTCCTAATCTAAGCAGCTAACCAGATATTTTATTCTATAAGTTTTTAGTCACCTTTGACTTTATGACATGATTTATTCACCCTTGGACTTTTTTCTACTACAAATGTCATCAAAAATCATACATTGAATTTATTTTGATGATAATGAATTTGTATGCCAGTTAGTTCTTTCAATCTTCATTTTTTATTGATATTTTCATCAAAATAATTTTGTGAATCTAAACAGGTCAACCGAAAAGAATTTTAAGATGGTTACATAAATTCGTCATAGAAATCATGAATCATCTTCGTTAGCTGTACTCTAGGTGCCATAATCATCGTCGTTATGATCATTTGGTTCTTCAATCTCTTTGTCTACATATCGATAAAGAATGATGAATCGTTCCTCTCATCACATATCATTACGATCCTCTACAGTTGTTTCTCTACAACTTTTTTTTATCACTCTGGGTTGCTCTCTGGTTGTTCGTGTAAGATGGATATGGATCGCGAGTATTGATTTAAAACAAAACAAAAGTCAATATGCACATATATGGATAGGCGTAAATCAATTGAAAAAATAATTTGACTGAAGAGAAGACAATATTTAATTCATTCAACCAGTAGAGCTATACTGCTTGTGCAATAGAATCATATTAAGTAAAACAATTCCAGTACACACTATTACATCACAGGTTATCAAGCGAATCAACTGAAGGTTTTGATTTATTATCATCAAAATAAATTCAATGCATGGTTTTTGATGACGTTCTTATGAGGGAACTCTCCAACTGATTCCGAGCTTTCGGTTTGATCTTTTGGCTACAGCTAGGCATCAGTGGGACTAAGAAAACTCTAGAAGCGTTCGTGCCCATGGCTCTTCTTTCTCCAAATATACAGTGCGCGCCAATTCATTTCCCCCTCTCCTCCCCCTTTGTTTTTCTCGCATAAAAAAGCTTCATTTCGGTTTATTTTCGATAATCAATATACAATGAGAAGGTACAGATTCTGCTGCATCACATGACGTATAAATCATAAATAAGGAGCAAAGCTCAGGTAATAAAAACTACATCAGAAAAAAAGATGTCAGATTTTGTTGTCACAATGTAATTTTCATCTGGATTAAATGGAAGAGAATACTCACGAGGGAACATATTTGAGTGTATCCCCTAGGAAGAGGTTTAAAAGTATTCTATCTTATGGGGACCTAAGTCAATATCGATAATATCAACACCTTAGCTGCTACCGTTCAAGTTTGAAGAAAATGGAGAATGAAACTTTTTCATTTCCAAGCATACTACCAGTATGATCCGTATCATTTTTCATCTTTGTAAGAATAGACCGGTTGATGAATCTTTTTATAAAGGAACCGCTAAAAATAAACAAGATTTGATATGAAAGGGTTGTATTCTCTCGCAAATAAGCACATCAAACATGTGTTTCTGTTCGAAGTATCTATCTGATCGATGAGCATAGGATGCTCTATATGGCTTTCCAGGATATCGGATGTTTTCAAAAATCACAAGGCCTTTCAGAATACCGAATCAATGTCCAGAAATCAAATTAGATTCTGGGAATAGTATGAATCTCAAGGAAACTGGGCAAGTTTCCTATAGAGATGATTCGATTCTGATGTTATTCGCATAGGTGAATGTGAAAGTAGAAACGCACACAACACATCAACTAAGCAGCCAAGTTACGATATGATAACCAGTTTTTCATTGTGCTCATTATGTCTCTTTTTGAATATTTTGGAAGTTGAATAAATATTCTAGAAACTAATCAAAGCCAACGAGTGTTAATCATATACAGATTTATTCGATGATTGTTGTTGCTGATGGTAACTAACTTTTAGCTATTAATTATCATAGTTACTGTGCACGCCAAGAACTATTAAAAACCGTTTCTAATTACTCTCATTGAATCAATGAGAAAGAACAGTTCATCAGACAGATATATACTTAAGTCAGAAACACACGTTTTAATGTGCTTATTTGCGAGAGAAAACAACCCTTTCATATCAAATCTTGTTTATTTTTAGCAGTTCCTTTATAAAAAGATTCATCAACCGGTCTATTCTTACAAAGGTGAAAAATGATACGGATCATACTGGTAGTATACTTGAAAATGAAAAAGTTTTATTCTCCATTTTCTTCAAACTTGAATGGTAGCAGCTAAGATGTTGATATTATCGATATTGACCTAGGTTCCCATAAGATAGAATACTTTTAAACCTCTTCCTAGGGGATACACTCAAATATGTTCCCTCGTTAGTCACGTGTGAGAAAATCCCTATTCAAGATGGCGCACAATCTGTCATTTCGAATATTCTAAAAATCAATCATGAAAAAACTTATCGTAAAATGCGTGATTATCTTCTACCAAAATTTCGTCAAATGTTTCAACGAATGCCATTGATTATTTTGTCAACAGTCAAAGCATTCGATAAAATGCAGGTTTGTTTTGATCGAATAAGGTCCGAAAGTCTGATAGATATACTGGTATCGGATTTCATGTCACCCATTGCAAATGTTAGATTCGATTTGTAAAAAACTCCAAATACTTTTATTCAAACTTTATTTTAATTTTATTTGACTATCTTCTAATATTGATGATGGCAGAAAAATACGCATGTCATTTGTTTAGTCTGTAAAATACATGACGAGTGCAGTGAACCAAACGATTAACATTTTTAGAAAATGTGTACAATTGAAAGACTTAAGGTAAAATCGTCTATTCTCTAACGAAGGTTAAAAAACGTTGCAAATAGGAAATCATTGCGTGTAAATTCGAAAAATCGTAAACAATCATTGGTATAGTTTAGCCAGTTTTTATTTTGTTGTGGTTGTTAATCAAAAACTTGATAACGTGGCATGTGATATTAACTTCACTCGGACTGTGAGCCTAATAATGATATCATCAAATCAAAGCAACAATTCAATAACTAATACAATGCTTGATCGCTTTTGTATGCACATATTACCTCGAATTTATAAGAACGTGGAATATCTTACTGTTGAAGCATGCTTCTTTGCAACGTGTACTTCATGGGAGCGATCCTCTTAACTTACGCAAACTCAATATGCCTTCCGATATCTTTAATGGTAGATATGTTACTTGAGCTCTCAATGTCCAAAAAGTAGAACAATTTTTAGAAAAGTCTCCATTTATTCATATCTTCAAACAGCAAATTTCAGATCTAGGCATAAGAATTAATTGCGAAGTGACGAAGACATCAATGTAGAATTATTCCATTCATTGATCATACAATAAATCCGATCTAGCCATAGGATGTGTCTACGATTGTCCCAATTGAGTGATTTCTCATACAGTCTATGCCGATACTTATTAAGAATCAGATAAAGATATTATTCTATTCAATATTCCTAAATTTATTTTCCTCAAATCCATCAATCACCTTCATGCAATCAACAATCATTGCTTCTGTTAATATATTATGTGAAAAACTGAATAAGTAGAACATTGATAGAGGAATCTAATCTCCACAATTAATCAAGCAGTCTCATGAAATTGAATATATCTGACAAAGCTATGACAAATCCTAACGTTTTATTCTTTCGTAAATATACCTGTTCGTTCTTATGTATCTTCACGTGTTCGCTATCTTTTTCACGTAATTGATCTACTACGTATGTACTTCAGACGTCGCTTGGAGGGTGTGGGGTGTGGGGTGTGGGAGCGGGTGTGGTTATGGGTGTACTGTTCCTTTTCATCCACATCCACACCCACACCCTCCTTTAAAGATTTATTATTCTACGTTGTTTTCAGTGTCATGAATGCCTTAATTTCATATCTCAAGAAGAAATTTTATTGATTGATCATGTCGATTGTTTTTAAACTGCTTTGGTGTGAAATGAGTTGGATGAGATTCATTGATACATTGTCTCTTTGTACTTATGAATCGTGTCAGATCTTGATGAATTTTAGAATTTATTTTTTCCCACTTGGTCATGATATGCGTCCAACGTCGAATATTATCGCGGCGAATGTTTAATTTCATCTTTCGTCTTCGTTTTTTTTCTCTTAACTAGTCTAGGCGAAATAGACTAGACCAGACGGATTATATCAATATTATAGACTTCAATCATGCTATATAGCTAATACACATACATTGACTTGTAGATTAAACTAACAAATTCATTATTATATTAATGTTCACTTGTGTTTGATAACAAATGACAAAACAAACTGAACGTAAAGAAATAAATTTAATGAATTTAGAATTATTTCCAAATGAAATTTTATTTGATTTATTTGTCTATTTCGATGGTGTTGATCTTTTTCATACATTTTATAATCTTAATTCTCGTTTTAATTTTCTTCTTTATCAACAATATCGATTCTATTCTTTCAATTTTAATTTTATATCCAAACGTAATTTTGATCTGATATGTAAACAACATTTATCATTTGTAACTAATCAAATTCTTGCTCTTCGTATTTCTGATAATGCAAATTTTCCTAGACAAGTGAATTTATTTATTTCTTACATGTCATCCTTTAGTCAATTCACTCATTTACAATCACTTTCATTATCTTATCTTCATTCATATAATATATTAATGAAAATTATCGATGAATGTCATCAGCTTGGTCATCTCACTCATTTATATATGAAATCCTGTTATTTTCCAAAAGATCAAGGTGATTTTCTCTTAATAATCAATAAAGTTTGGAGTTTACTAAAACTTACTCATTGTTATTTTCAAATTAACATTGAAGAACAAGAGTTTTTTCGTATACCAACAACAATCTCCTCATCTCTTCAATGTTTGTCTGTATGTGGAAGTGTATTGAAATCATATCAGATTAATGCATTGATTGACCATACCATTCATCTTCGATATCTTTCAATACCTATTGAGTTTGATATTTACGAAGGTTATAAATCATCTTCATTTCTCATCCCAACCAATTTGAATATTACAATAACTTATTTATATAATTTTGAAAAATTAATTTCCTTTTTTCGTCATACATCGAATTTATGTCGATTACGTATCACGTTATCATTTAATATAATTGATGGTCATCAATGGGAACATATCATTCGTAATTACTTACCAAAACTTCGAGTATTTCGATTTAATATGAGTAAGAGATTACGTTACGATGATAATATAAAGAAACAAGTCGATGAATTAATTGATTCATTCAGTAGTTCATTTTGGATTAATGATCATCAATGGTTTGTTCGATGTTTTACACAGAAGAACACCGTTCATCTCTCTACGTTATCTACGACATTTAACTATTATAAAGACGAACTTCTTGATATATGGAAATCAACTTATCCAAACGATGTCGAACAAGAGTTTTATGATAATCTAACTACTATCAATAAGGAATTCTTTTTTAATCAATTGATTCCATCTCATATTCGTTTGCCTAATCTTCGCAATCTTTGGATCGAATTTCCTATTAATGATCGGTTTTGGTCTATTGTTCCAAACTTAAATCATTTGTATTCACTTACAATTTTCTCTTATATTAATAGTTTTCAATTTCAATTGCAAAATTTTCTCGATCAAATACCTCATCTTAATAGATTGGCTATTGGTCCAGATAACTCATTACCTTTGCAAATATCATTATTCAAATGTACAAATGTATCAATTCGTCAACTTGATTTACAGAATTATGTTTATGGATTCAATGAAGAAGAATGTATTATATTGTGTCAATCATCATTAGGTATTCAATGTCAAGTACTTTTTATTCAAGTCAGAAATCCTCAAAGTATTATTTATCTTATTAAAAACATGGTCAATCTTCAACAATTACATGTTCAATGTAAATTTGAGAAGAACTGTGAACATTTACCAAAAATAGCAAATGGTGAACTTATTCAATGGTTAAAAGAACAGTTACCTTCAACATATTCAATTGTAACACATCCATCTCTTGCTAATCGTTTTCAAATATTCATTTATTAATGAAAATTACAATTAGATGTTTATATTGATCAATTATAAATAAACATTATTTTTGATGAATTTTGTTCGAACAGAATCATGTTCTTATCGTTAAATCAAATTTTGATCGAGAAAAATAAAATAAACTTGATATGATTTGAGGATGTTGATATGAAATTTCTAGACAAATTGAAAATTTCGTCTAGAAAATCTCAGATCGATTTCAAAGAGAATAAAATTTGGGTGAATGGGTGAAGTAGTAATCTTTTTGGTCATCCTTACTGTCACCTTAGGTCATAATCTACCAATGTATTGTTCTTATCGAAGCTCCTTTTTGAGTGATTCGCACAGAAATAAACAAATATGAGATTATTGTTCGATGACAGTCAGTAAAATGAAATAAAAATCGAAGAATATTATAGAAATATATCACAAAAGTTTTGGCATTTATATGAAAATATGCATAATTACTATTCTTTCTTTTTATAAAATATCATTTTGGTTATTTCGATGAGAAAAAGATGATAAAAACATTGAGACAAAATGTGAGTTACTGAAGTTATTATTTTTTTAATATTCCTGACAGACTCTTCGATCATGTTGGACTTACCATTGTGCCGTTGTTAAAGAGTTAAATAGATCAAGTGTTTGTTCTTGTCTCTGTCAAATTATATCCGATCGATCTCGAAGAAAACTTGCGAAAACAGTAGCTCTTCTTTCTCATGAGAATATCTAGATTATGGACTAAGATCAACAGTAAACGCGATTCAAATTTCCATAATAAATAGAACATTGCCGAATCGCTCGGCTACACTGCGATTTCGACTACAGGAA